TTGGACATCTTAACATAAAAAATTACTCTCTTTTCACTGTGTCTCGTCTATTGTTGGGATTATTGGCAAAGTCACAGTGATTAATCCCTTCAATGAAAAGAAAAAGTTTTCTAAACTTTTTTTTCTTTTTTTTTCTTTATTTTGTATGATATGCCTCACCAACTCAATAAGTAAAACGTTAAAAGTATTTTTTTTTAATTTTTCATAGCTTATATTATTTTTGATTTACATATTTGCCCAATAACAGTAGAATGCATGCAGATTTTTCTAAACTTTGTTATTTACCAAAATCTAAAAAACATCTGTTACATTAATGAATATTAAGAGAATTTGTCTTATCAGTCTAAGTTTTTAAGCTAGATCACTTAAGAATTTTCAGCACTGTTAACATCAAAATAAGGTCTTGTGTAAAATAATAAAGAAAAGCAGTCACAGCACAAGGAGTAATGCAATTTAATAATTACTTTTCTATTACTAAAATAAATTTCAGATTGTTATCTACACTTTATTTGGATTACCTCAAGTACTGTTATTATTATAATAATTATTATTATTATTATTTTCACTAAATAATTATAAGGACTTGTGAGATAATGTTGCTCGTACAAGTCAGTTCAGTTCCATACAAGTTATGAATAAATCTTGGATACGCGGCTCGTCAACATTTTACTTTACGGAATTTTTATCGCGTCCTCGCAAAACCTTGTCTGCGTCCACTATAGGATCATGCGAGATCATGTATATACATGAGACAGAGAAAAGTAATTTCGAGCTGTTTCATTAACTGGACAGTCTCGTTACTACAATAATAATGTCGAGCGAAATAAAGCTCCTTTATTTGCGTGCTTCTCCTTCCATAGCTGTATCACAGAAAAACCAAGCAGCTAATAGCGCGTACGCGTGGGTATATACGAGATAGAAATAACGTCGTTAGCACGGTTTACACGGCAACGCATTCTACATACGTCGTGATGATACGCGAATAAAAGTGCAGTAATTATACTTTGGATGCAAACTAATTATAATTGAAAAGCACGATAATGCGACGCATGAAAACTGCTCGGTTCGAAAATGACCTGTGCATCATCATCATTATCATCATCATTACAGCAACAAATGATGATTTACAGGGTATATGGTATACTCGGGATGGAACTCGGTAACGGAGTAAAAAAGTTGATCTAATTTGGACCACAATTACATGGTTGAGTTGTATATGTAATGCCGTGCGCGCTTTTGCGAGTTTTCGCTGTAAAACTACGAGTATAAAAGTTATCCTGGAAAAAAAAGGTTAAAATGACATAGCGAAACGCATTAAAAATTATCAAAGCACTTGTAGTTACTGCAACACGACGGACCAACTTTGAAGTACAGTTTTACGGTAAAAATTATACTGCAACTCCTTTTTTTCCGTACGTACTGGTATGATTAATAGGTATAACATATTATGGAATAAAAATTAAAAGGTTGACACTTGATAGTACAAATCTGATGCTTGGAGTTACTGGACCTCCCGAAACATAGGTACGTGAATTCGTAAGGATGCGTAAATTATAATTATACGTGAATTTTGCAGATAGAGCAAGTGAGTCAAACTTACCACTGAACAACAGTAGGTCTTGAAGTATTTGATGTAAATTTCCTTGTTTCTGCGCATTTTAAAGATAAATATTTATAATTTCTTATTATTTTTGTTTAACCCATATGCCTCTGCGTATGTATATTTCGAGCTGTCGAGTATAAAACTCCTCTCAGGCGGTGCTCTTTCAAAGAGCATAATAAACACAACTCAGCGAATACATTGCGACCTGGGAAATAAGTCACAGGAATAAATTAGTACTGAAAATTCACCAGAGCCGCCCACCAAAAAACAAAATCGATACCGGGTGATTCAGTTTTAATTGCGCACTCATCCGTTTTTTTTCAGGACGTGTTTGATGTTTTTGCCGGACGTGGCGAGTTTCGTTTCCGCTCTCCTATTCGCCGTCCATCCAATCCACACGGAAGCGGTAAGCAGTTCTTTTTTATGTGTATATGCTCAATCTTTTTTTTTCCCTCCCATACGGATTAATGGAAGTTGAGCAAAAAAAAAAAAAAAAAAAAAAAAAAAAAAAAAAAAAAAAAAAAAAAAAAAAAAGATAAAAAAGAAAGCAAAAAAAACACGAAACCAGGTTTAACTGCTGATTCACAGGTGACGGGCGTAGTCGGGAGGGCAGAGACGTTATCGTCCCTCTTCTATTTGGCGGCTTTCACGACCTACATCAAGTGCTGTAGGAGCAAGAGATCCACAGGTAAGTCAGCTTATATCCATTGCACATGTGTATAGGCACGCGCGCGTACACACGTATATATCCTCTTTAACGAGAGGTACGCGTTATCGAAGCTCGCACGCGATTCATGCCCACTCACCCATACGTATACATCGTATGGAAATATTTTCTCTCACGTTATCACTTAGAATTTTTTTTTTTATCTTCTCGTATTCTACAGCTTTACCCTTTTTTTTTTTTTTTTGTTTTTTTTTTTTTTGTTCCCACCCCTAATACTCGGGCACAATTATTCGCTTATTTTCGTTTGTTTGATCTTGGGTTCGCAGGCTGGAGGTCATTAATTATGTCGATGTTCTTCGTGTTCATCGCCATGCTGTGCAAAGAGCAGGGCATCACCGTCACCGCGGTCTGCGTTTTGTATGAAATATTCGTTGTACAAAGGGTGAGTTGGTGATTTTTTTTCATCTCTTTTCACTTTTTAGTGATACATTTTTTTTTTTGCTTCACGATGCGTGTATTTTTGTGGTTATTGCTGTGTTTCGTCCACCCGCACAGGTTAGAGCTTTGGAACTGGTGCTGGCGGCGAGATCGGCCTTCGATGGCAAAAAGGTATCGCTCGCCTGGTCAAGCGAGGGCACGAAGCGCCTTACGGTTGTCACCCTCGTCACGTTTAGTTTATTAATATTAAGATTGCACGTGATGGGCTCGAAGCTGCCCGTTTTTACAAGGTGAGTCCTAGTTTTTTTTTTCCCAATTTCTTTTATTTTTTTTTTCACTTATTAGTAGTTCACAATTATTTGTAACCTTGTACGTCACTAAGGATCTCGTGAACACGAACTTTACGGTTTGACATAGTTGAAAAAGTGGCAGGGCAAGGTGTTGTTAACAATTTGTATGGATAACAATGCGAACCGTAAAGTTTTTTTTTTTTTTTATTATTAGATAAAAAAATGATTCTAAATTTGATGGGTTATTTAAAAAACAAAAAGAGCTCTCGTAACTTTTTCATAAAATGCATGGCTTTTGTTGAAAACATTATCAAATTTTTAACTCCTCTGTTGCAATGCGCAATGATTTAATGACAAAACTTTTGAAAAATTTTTTCCCGCCCAAAAACATGCATCTCATGAAAAGTTAACAAGGGTACACCCCTTTTTGCGAGGCACCTACATGAGTATTTCTGGTTTGTTAAAAAAACCTTTATTCTTAGCACTCCTGTCTCTACAAATTGTCAATAAAGATCGACCCCGCCATACGGCAGATGTCTTATTTAAGAGACCGATATACAACAGTAAAAAAGATCTTTATAAAACCTTATAAAAAGCTACAAGGGTCCTCTCAAATAAATATACACACCAGTATGTTTTTTTGCTATTGCTGTTTTTTTTTGTTCCCCTTACACTCGACGAACGCTCCCTGTGCCCCCGATACACACACCAACTTGTCATATCAAGCTTATCGTTAACTGGGTTGTGCCCGCACGGGCACTCGTACCTATATACTTCTATTGCCATTTTGGATTATTCAATATAAATTCATGCACAGCGCCGTATTACGAATTCCCATCGTCAGAATTGATTTCCATGGAAATTCGTGTACGCGCATATATAGCGTATTAGCCAAAGCTACAACAGACGCCCCGCAGGTAGATACGAGTACATACACCAAGGTCCAACGTATCGCAATCGACACGGATTAATTTTCATATGTAAATTCTGCTATTCGTGGCTCCCCCAAATCCCGCTTGTTCGAGGACAATAACAACGTATCTTCCTCTTGTTTTTTTTTTTCTTTTTTTCATACCTCCCCCCCTTCTCTGCCGTTTCAGATTTGACAATCCCGCGTCCGTGGCTTCGACGCCGACGCGCCAACTGACGTACAATTACCTCGCGGCCGTCAACCTGCGGCTGCTCTTCCTTCCGATCGACTTGTGCTGTGACTGGACGATGGGTACGATACCCCTGGTCGAGGGCTTCCTGGATCCGAGGAACCTGGCAACCCTGGCCGCCCACGCCATTGTCGTCGTGCTTCTCGTCACCGCCCTGCTCACGCGCAGCAGGCAAACCTCCATCGTCATCATAATGGTAAGTGCACCGGTGCCGTATAGGTACATATACGGCAATGATCATCACCGATTCGATTTATTCGTTTCAGAGCCTGGCCATGATGATCCTCCCGTTTTTACCAGCCTCGAATCTCTTTTTCCCCGTCGGGTTCGTCGTGGCCGAGCGAGTGCTCTACTGCCCGTCGATGGGCTATTGCATGCTCGTCGGCTACGGCTGTCAAATACTCCTCGAGAAGAGGTAAGTCGACGCCTCCCTTTATCTGTATACCGCATATAGTACACACCATTTTCCACGTGTACAAAAGTGTCTCTCGACCTGTATATAATATACACGTGTATATACATAAAAGGTACGCTCTATATGTATGTATAATACACGTGCTCCCACTGTTCCGTGTTTTGCGTAGCAAAAAGCTGACAACGGCGTTTCTGCTGATTTTGCTGGCGTCGCACGCGACGAAGACGTACGTGCGCAATTACGACTGGTCGGACGAGTACCAGATCTTCATGTCGGGCCTGAAAGTGAACGACCGCAACGCCAAGCTATTCAACAACGTCGGCCACGCGCTCGAGAGCCAGGGCCGGTTCAAGGAGGCGCTCAGCTTTTTTCACATGGCCGTGCAGGTGCAGGGCGACGACATCGGGGCCCACATAAACGTCGGCCGCACCTACAACCACCTCAAGATGTTCAAGGAGGCCGAGGACGCCTACTTGAAGGTATAGTATACATGTATACACGCGTAACGATCGATAAACCGGAATTTACTAATGCTCCGTTGACGCGAAATCAGGCGAAATCGCTACTGCCTAAAGCCAAGCCCGGAGAGTCGTACCAGGCTCGAATAGCCCCGAATCACCTGAACGTGTTCGTCAACCTGGCAAACCTCATAGCGAAGAACGCGACGCGACTCGAGGAGGCAGATCTCCTGTACAGGCAGGCCATAAGCATGCGAGCCGACTACACGCTGGCCTACATCAATCGCGGTGACGTTCTCATCAAGCTCAACCGCACCAAGGAGGCCCAGGAGGTGTACGAGCGCGCTCTGTTCTACGACAGCAACAATCCCGACATCTACTACAACGTGAGTGCCACCCCTTCTCTCGTCTCTTATCCTTTCAACGAGCCGGCGAGTAACTTTGGCGTTATACATTGTCCAGTTGGGCGTGGTCTTTCTGGAGCAAGGCAAAGCCTCCCAAGCCCTGGCCTACCTCGACAAGGCTCTAGAGTTCGACCCCGAGCATGAGCAGGCGCTCCTGAACTCGGCCATACTGCTGCAAGAGCTCGGCCGAGCTGAGCTCCGCAAAGTCGCCAGGGAGCGGCTCCTCAAGCTGCTGAGAAAGGTCGGTATCGATGGCTTTGTTGCAGCGACGACAAAACAAAAAGTAATGAAACGACAACCCACTTTTCAGGACTCGAACAACGAGCGCGTCCACTTCAACCTGGGCATGCTCGCCATGGACGACCACGACAGCGAGAGCGCCGAGCGCTGGTTCCGAAACGCGGTGGCTCTCAAGGAGGACTTCAGGTCGGCCCTGTTCAACCTAGCGCTGCTGCTGGCGGACGAGCAGCGGCCCCTCGAGGCCGCGCCCTTCCTCAACCAGCTGGTCAGGTTCCACCCGGACCACATAAAGGGCCTGATCCTCCTCGGCGACATCTACATCAACACCATCAAGGATCTCGACGCGGCCGAAAACGTAAACCATCGCCCCTATATACATCACCATTATTATCAATCAGTAAACCCACCTGAGCATGCATGTACTTATACAATCTCCAGTGCTACCGGCGTATCCTGCAACTCGACCCGACGAACGTCCAGGGCCTGCACAACCTGTGCGTCGTGATGGTCGAGCGGGGCAAGCTCGGCCAGGCGGCCAAGTGCCTCGAGCGCACGGCCGCCCTGGCCCCCCAGCAGGACTACGTGCACCGGCACCTGGCCATCGTCCGAGCACGTATCAGCCGCCTTTCGCACGAGGAGCTCGTCGACGCGGGGCTCGACGACAGCTTCGACCACGACGACCCTCGGGCATCCCAGCAGTCGTCGGTCCCGACGACCCCGTCGGCACCGAAGAGCGCAAACGAGGCGAAGGCTAACAACCATCACTTGGGGAACGAGTACCGGCAGTCGGGGGCTGCTGATGCTGGGACCACGGAGGCTCGGCTCGGCGTTCATCGGAAAGGTAAGCGATCGGGGTTCATTGAGAGCACGTGATGAACGGACCCCACCGCGGGAGACGGGCAAGTTATCGGCTCGGATTTTTAAGCGCGGCGGAGAGGAATGAGATCGATCTTTCGATTTCGGGCAATTAAGCTTCCACTACGATTTATTTGCGCGGTTGTAACGCTCCTATATCGAGTTGTTCTTTGGTCTGACTAAGGGAGGCGTGCTCCGCGGGGATTTGCGATCCGTTGGTTGTATGTATTTAGGAATCGATGAGTTGTGTCATTATGGTTGCCCATAGGCGGTGTTGGAGGGAGGGTGGGAATTTCGATAAGTTGTATATAAGATGCTTGAGCGCACGTCTCGGTGGTTTGATGGAAACTTGTAACGATTGCGCGCGCAATTAAAAGTTCCGCTGCAAAGCGCGGAAAGGCTGGAACAATGAGCTTCGGGAAGGGAAAATTTAACGAAAATCGATAATTAATTAAACTACGTGTACGAGCTTTGCTTGTTTGGCTTGCAATTTCCACGCGCTCTTCTAAATTAAATTGATCTTCTTACCCCACCCAGACGCGCACAATCGTTTTCTGATTGCGTGAAAATTTCATGATTTTACATCGCGCACATGCATACATTTATAATACGACCACTCGGATACGTAGATATAATTCAAAAGCTTTTATTCCGAAGGGAAGCGACCGAGCACTCGTGGGCCGAGTAATCCATTTAAAGTTTAATTCAAACGAAAGGGAAAATCGATAGTGGAAATTCCTGATATTGTCATTGGAAAACGTGAGAGTACTGTACGTAGTGCTCATTATCGATTCCTGTTGTCTGCGGAGCGGCTTTTTCCTTGGGCCGGGGGAAGGTATAGCGAAGGAAAAAAAAGAGAGAAAGAGAGAGAGGGGAAAAAAATTCAAAATAGAAACTGGAGCGAGGACTCATTTGCATTTAAATCGCTTCTTTTCCTTCGCTAAGCAGTTTAATCTTCCCTTTCCTAATCGTCGAGGGTTATACTTTGCGATTACGCGATAAAGAAAATTCGTGTACCACAGCCCTGATTTTAATAAAATTTTGTGTCTCTATTTGTTGCAAAAAAAACAAACGAACAAAAAAAATTCAGATTTATCGCAAGAGCACAACAGCGCGAGCGAGCTCAGCCGACTGGCAGCTGATCAGAGCTCCGTCATCGGGGGCGGTGGAGGTGTCCTCGATCGGATAGTGAGCGCCGACGTGGCCCACGCCGAGATAACGCAGAAGCGCACCAGTCGCGCGAAGATCGCCTCGCACGCGAATAACAATCGCAGTGGCCCGACCACGAAGGCGCCACCCACGAGCTCAGCTACGAGGAGCAAAGTATAGAAGAAAACACCGGTGATGAAGATACTGGGGATGAATAGATAATCAATGGAGGAGTTGTTGTTTTTCTGTTTTTTTTTTTTTTACTCTATGTTTTTTTTTCTTTTGGAGCGATTTTTTAAGTGAATAAAAAAAAAGATTGAATGACAAATGATGAATCAAGAATACAAAGGGCGAGAGGAGGAGAAAAATATGTTAAACCCCTGCCGAATAATGTAAAGTTATAACACACAAAAAAAAAAAATATATACTCGTGAATATATATTATATATATTTAAGGGATGTGGCTACGATGGCGCGTAGCCTGATGTAGCGCTGGTGTGAATATACAATTGAATAAATGACAGAGTATTGTTTTATATGCTGTATAAATAGAAAATTTTATAAAATATATTTAAAAGAAAAAAAAAAAAAAAAGAAAACGAATTTGTATTTACGTTCCCTACCTGTACCAATATACCATTTCCTGCATTCATGTTGAGAAGAAATGAATTATTCACTTGTCATCCAAATTTATGTAGCGAAGAGTATTTAATTTCACAATAAATTTACATCGCTTAATGACACTTTTTTTTTAATTCGTTTTAATCAAGGAAAGCTTCAACTTTGTTTAATTACGGTTGAATTCCAGGGCAGACTGGATTGAAAATCGATGAAATTATTATTGCACGGACATGCATGAATATACATACAGAGGCAGTTAATTAAATTTCAAATACGATAACTCTATACATAATATTCTTTATTACTACTAGACAATTTGAATAGGTATACCGAATTCGAGCAATCGCTCTAACGTTGCTGGCATCAAAAGTGAGCATCGCCGTAAAATTACAAAGCTTTGATTCAATTGAAAATTCGTCATAGGTACTCTATTTCATTGACAGAGTCAATTTCATTTTTTTTTTTTTTTTTTCCTATGCAACAACAAGAACGCAATTCATCATGGAAAACAATAAGAAAACAGCCGTATAAATACTAAATGAAACTCGGAGGTGAACGTAAATCAACAGCAACCAGCAACGAAACCCTACACATATATACGCAGCAATGGGAGACTGGAGGCAGGATGCAAACAGCCACGTCATCGAATCGTCGTAACTGCAGGGGCGCGAGAGGAGTAAATTATCGACAGTAATTTACCGGGCGATGATCCGTCCACGCAGACGTAATCGCCAGCTCATACAATTCGTACGTATACAGCTATACCCGCTCGGCACACCAGCAGCGATGTAATATATATCTCAGTGCTGTGTGGTCGAAAGCACACTCGCCAAACTGCAAGCACAAAAGCTCGCAAGCTATAGGGGGCCTATCTGCCTAGGTATATCCTTCCCGTGCTCATAAACACGCCGACTTCGATTTCAGCGGCAGCACGAGCCGTGAGAGATATCGTCAAAGGGAAGGGGTGGGGGGCGGTGCCTCGTAATTTTCGCAAGTACGGAGGCTAGACGCTCGTACGTGCTCGTATAATACACGATGTACATACGCGAGGGGTTGTGAATCAAGCGGACTTTTACGAGCGGCCTTTCCAGAATGAATAACATACACACCCACTACTACGTATATATTTATATGTAACCCGGCTGAGGCTATGCGTGCTGTGTGTGGGCGATAATGACGGCGTGAGGTTGCATTTTCAAATTTTAATTTTTTTCCCTCGCTCGACTGTCAGAAAAATTCCACCTGAACTCCCTCCGCAAGGAATATGATCCTCGTTGTATTAACATTTTCCTGGTGGACTATTGGTGTTCCAGAAACTCTCACAACGATGCTCGTTTCCCGTACGGCTTGAGGCTATTCTGATGGAAATTTTGGGAATTTTGTCGGCACCAACGAGATACGTGTAGGTGTATATGTACGTGCACATACAGTAGTTAGCTTTTGAACCACTTGATTGGTGTTATTGGTGGTGCTAATGTATTATCAGGATTTCAGCTGGATTTTTTTTTTTTAATTTTACAGTTTACAAAAAAATTGGTGTTTTTTACGAATCAATTTTTTTTTTATTCATTACGATTTGATCTCCAAACGACTGTAATATATAAATAAAGGACTGTAAATTTTTATTTTTATTTTTTTATGTTAAAGTAAATAATCATTCGATTAACATAGTTCATCATAACAAATATTTATAGAATAATGAATTTAAAAAACTAATAATAATTAATTTAAAAAATAATAGCCTACGTGATTTCAGCTGTGTGGTTAGAAATGAATATACTTTAAAGCATAATATATATAAATTTATTCATTTGTCTGATTAATGGCAAATAGTGACAAAATATATTCCAATTCATTTTTTGTAAATAAAATAATAAATATTTCTTTTTACTACAAAGTATTAAAAAGTGCCAATTAAAATACTATATCAGTTATAACAACGGCAAAGTTTTAGTTGAAAATTAATTAGTTTCATTATGGCAGGCAAAGCCGCGTGACTGGCAACAAATAGTTATACTGTAGTACTTATAAAATACATATATATTTGTAATGGTTTTATTCAAAAGATTATAATTAATTGATCCATTCAAACATTCCATGGAGTGTGGAGATGATAGCAGGTCTTCATACCATATCACTATGTGATCAAACTCTTTCTGTGAGTACTAGACGTATTTGAGCTTCAGAAAATTGATGTATTTTTCGAAAGTTTCGAAAGAAAAGACCAAGTTATATAGGTCTATGTGGCAGGTACGCAAGTGCTTCTTGAAACTCTTGAAGTGGCTAAAATTTTTCGCGCAAGGAATGCAGATTTGGTAATTTTCATCAAAGTCGAAAGAACTGCTTGAGGCTTTGTTTTGAGTAGGAGTTTCCTTTTGAGTTTGTTTAGGTGTGCGATTTCCCCATTTGGCCCTGTGTGGGGAGGTTCAGCGCTGTTTGGGGCTTTGCGAGAAATCAATCTCTTGTATAAATGCCCCTTTCGCACGTTTGTATGAAATAACATAGTTCCACTTTGGTAAAAAAAAAATTATTTGAAATGAATGTAAACATGGTTTGGTTGAATGAGTGTGGAAAACTATTTTGTACTTTTAATTTTATTTATTATCTCGTTGTAATTATAAGTGCAAATGTGCACTACGTTACCTTTATCAGAAATATTTTTTTGGAACTTATTTCCAAAGTGTAATTATTAGATCAATATGTACATTTTCTGTTAAAATCTAGTATGTTTGCTTGTATCAAAATCATCATTCTCTAGCTCACAGTAGAACATAAGAGATTTTAACTGATGTACATGTAGACGTTTTAATTTTCATTGAATAGTTTCATATCAAAACTGATGCGTAATTTTACCATTACATTAAATCCAGCCGTATACAGTAAATACTTTAAAAATCTACGACCATACAGTTGACGATACTATATTTTAGTGTCTAATGATAATTTAAGATTAAGGAGTTTTATTTGTTTCTTGTTTATGTTTCAGCTTTAATGTTGCTCACCTTTTTAAAGAGATCTGTAAAAATACTGATTGATCGAATCCATTAAAATTTAAAGGTTTTTTAGACGGATTTTCGTTAAGGAGTATACTTAAAGTTTAAAGGATTTGGAGGGATTAAATATATAAATGTCCATCTTGTATATTATAAAGAAGTATTTTTAGTCAAAGTAAGAGGCTCTAAAATCTTATTTCGTAAATCATTGGCACCCTAAAACACCCGTACTCCTATTTTTCAATCATTTATAAAATCTCGATTATTTGAAAAACCTTTATTAGCTATTACGTTTGACTACAGCAACATCTAAAGATCAAGTATTGTTGTCAAAAGCTGTCATACCTCTCCACACTACTTTATTATTTGTCAAATGATACGAGATATAAAAAAAAAACAATTCGCAAATTCCTCGGTACATGGTCTAAAAGTTGGAAAAGTGCGTAGTGGAACGTTTCCCATTTGACTAGTAAAATTGCGAAAGAAAAGCATCGATCGTCTCTATGAATATATTAAAATAGTAACACGTATGTCGTTCTATGCATAAGATTAGTTTTCAAATACTGCTTATTATAGTACTAGTAATATGAGGAAACTTTTTTTTCAACCCAACAAAATTATACTTTAAAACTTTACATATTTTCAAAACAGTACTAAGGGTATTAATAAAAAGCCACACCAAAAAATTGGGAAAGATTCATAAAAAACTATTTTTCATAAAATACATATATTCATAAAAATACTATAGCTTGGAAAAAAAAAAGAGAAAAAAACCAACCAAATTACACCTCATTGACGTAACATTCGATTGCGTCGTACATAGTAAACTACGACGAATGTTTCCAAAGCGCCATTACCAATTAACCATTGGAGCCGTCCATTGTCTCGAAACCAATTGTTTCAAACTTCTCGAACGAAGGAAAAGCCAAGAGAGAGAGAGAGAGAGAGCGAGAGAGAGAGAGAGAGAGGGAGAGAGGGAGACACCTACCACTTAACGATCTCCCTATAAGCCGTTTGGCATTTGAAACCTGACCCACCATTGATTTCGAATAAATAATCCCTGCCGCACCGCGTAAAAGTTCGACTTTAGCCTATACTTAGGTAGAACATGTACCCGTACGGGTTAGAGAACGGCGCGAAATTTCAGCCAGAAAGCGGCCAATCGATTATCGCGACGAACCGCGGCTACCTCCCTTCCTTCTCCCATGCGTCCATTACCGATAAGTCGCGCAAACTAATTGCAAGCTCGGAGCTTCATACTTACCTCGGTATATACATGTGCATGTACCTACTATATGTTGACCGAAAGAGTGATTGCGGTCTTGTACCTATTTCGAATGGGGGTGGTATGCATACAGGACTGTGCAAGAGGCAAGAAACGATGACGATTGAATAATGATGAGTGTACGTGTGTGTTTACGCAGACGAGACAGTAGCATCAGCAAAGTTTCCGCTGATACTGCTGATGCTGGGAGGTTTCGCTCGGTTTTGGTTACCTACACTTATTTACGAGGGACAAGAAGCAAGGGTGTACTCACTGCAATGTGTATATATGGTTAACAATAGGATCGAGTTCCACGAATTTTAACGCAGATAATGCTTTATTGGCGTGTTTACGTGAACAGCGCGAAACATCATCAGATAATGTGTGTACACTTTATGCACTTGTTAGTCGTTTCCTCTCATGCATTAAATTACGTGTATTTGCGAAATTCAGTCAAATGCGTCACCGTGAAAGTTTCTTCGCTCGGGATATTTTCTAACTTTTACTTTCGTCGTAGTCGTTTGATCGACGGTGGGCGTTGCGCTTGACGGTCGATAGTTTCTCAGTTATCTCGCTAGATTTTATATGACGCTCCAAAGTTTTTTAATTTAAACGAAGTTGTGCCTGATAGTC